TCTTACCTTTCCCAGACGCATCCCTGGGCGCGATCTCAAGGCATTGTCGGCACAGCTTTGATGAGCAGGGGATATCTTGACGAAGGTACACCTCTCGCACGATTTTCTGAACCTTGCCGCTCTTGGTGGACCGCACGTAAACCTTGCTCGACAGGTTCGACGCAGAAGGGTCCCTATCGAGTGTTCTCTTGAGACTCGTCATCGCGGTTGTGTTGTGACGATTTGCCCTTTCCCAAGTCTTGATATAGGCAACGTCAAGGCTTGTCTCGGCTCACCAGAGGTAGGCATAGACACACTATGAAAATTGAGGTGAGGTCGCGAAGGCGGCTGACAAACGAATCGGATACTGCGGGGCGCCTATCTTATCTTATCTTATCGTACCTGGTCATCACACAGCTCAAACGGCACCAACGACACACGACACAATACCTATCCTAACATCCGTTGCCCGCCCCAATTGCGTCGATAGCATCAATCATTCCAATTTCCTAATCAGTGGATGGCTTCGACCCGGAAATCAGAACGCATGCACGCAGACCGCACAAGTTCCGCTGCCAGATGCGGCATTTACTAACACGGCCATCACTTTTCCTCAGCGAACGAAACGTGAACATCCCTTGACCTGTTTAGCCTAGCTGGCGTCCCGTCGCGCGCCAGGGTCTCGTCAGCACAGTACCTCCCTGTACAAGGTAGGAAGTGCGTGGAAAACAGCACAGCACAGCACGGACAGACCACACTCGTTCGAATAGCGCCATGCTTCACCCCTAGGTACAGAACGCCATTGCAGACCGCAGCAGCGAAGGTGCGCGCCCACGCCGAACTTTCCGCGCCCCAACCTCCACAGCAAATCTCACAATGAGGCCGGAAGCGGAATGTGGCACAACGCCCAAGGGGAAGAGAAGAGAGGGGAGGGTGATCAATGGAGCAACGCCTGTTGCCTCTTGCCTTTTCCAGTCTCGCCGTCCTGACGCGCGGGGCCTGATCTCGGCACCCTGTTTCACGCGCTGCACCACCTGCTGTACGACGGTATGTCGACCGGGGGTGGTACTCATTGTACCATAGGATCTTTCCAGAGCCACGCGAATCGGGAACGGAGTGGAGGGTCGACGCTGGGGCCTGGCAGACGGATCATGCTCGCTGAGGGCATGTTCGACGCCCGCGTTAAGCGTGAGACCTGAACCAGAAACCTGTGATACTGATGATGGCCTCCCCCCCAAACCATCCTCCCTGTCATCCCTCAAAGCGCGAGATGGGTCGATAAGGGCGGACGAGAAGCCCTGATTGCTTGCACGCGACGGATGATGTCTGGCTGCAAGCAAGGGGTTGTCAGGTAGGTGGCTTACATATGCGAGTAGAACTCGCCACGAAATCTCAACGTGCAGTGCGGCACGAGCTACAAGGTTGTGGGCTGAAAATCCTCTCAACATACAAAACACGCACACGGTAGCCGAAACCAGGTTACCTGGACTTTCTGAGCAGAGACAAAGCGGTACATTACCTTGTCTCGCTTTTTGTTTTTGTGGAGGGTCACCGACATGGCAATTGAGAAGAAATAAAATAAACGTGTGGTTCTGCTGCAAGAGCGGGTAGCAAGGATAGCTCCCGCAGTGCTGGTGGTTGTCTGGAGCGGACGCCGGGCGACGCTACAGTGGGGTCTGGGCACCATGTCCACCGGGCCGTAGATCAGTACCATCGCCCCCCCCCTTCTGAAAGCGTTAACCTTTAGGTGTCCCGCCAGTGGTTGATTGCCGCCGACACACAAAACGTTCGAGGTACACTGCAAGCAGAAGCACAAGGGCCTTATTACCTTATACGCACACGTGCGATGCTCTAGCCCTGGTCCCCTGGCCAGGCATGGCAGGCTGGCCACCCTTTCCACCCCCCTCCCCTACTTCATCTTCCCCCCCTTCGAACGATTTGCGGGAGGGGCGCGCCAGAGTACGATGTCGTTTCTTCATCAGATCAGGGTCTCTGGTTGCCAGCCAGTTGGTTATTCGCTTCTGTTGGTGGGAGCACCTATCGGCATGCTCAGCAGCTCCTCTTCTGAACCGGGCAAGCGTCACTTTTCTTTTCTTTTCTCGCAAACACAAGATCACTGTACTTCCCCCATCCAACTACGTTTTCTCATTCGTCGGGGCGTTGGACGACTCTGACCAAGAACCGCCTACCGTCCCTCGGGCTGGTGAAGAAAAAATAAACACCAAACCCCGAGATCATCGAGAAGAAGGGGGGATGGGCGGAGACCCTGCCGTGTCGTCCACCTCGTCTCGAGAGGGTGGGGACCCGCCGAACCCCATGATGTGCAGCCAAGCCAAGGGAAACGCCTTGCCGCTCCTGGTCAACACCCCCTCCAACACCCAAAGGCGCCCTTGTTCCCTCGTGCCGCTGCCCCAGACGTCACACCTACACGGCACAGGCGTGTCCTGCCCACCCCCTCTATCTCTTCCTCCCGTACACCCAGGCCCATGATCGCATGCCATCCCATGCCACTCTCAAGCTCGTTCATACACACCATCTTCTCCTGCCCGCTCCCCTGGCACCCTTTGACAGCGTGCGTCTGTCGACTCGCCTGGACTCAGTGCGAGGAGCCCATTACCTGCCAAGGGGATGGCACAAGGTCAGACCACATAGCACTTCGCTGCATATGCTTGTGCTTATGTGCGGCTTGCCGGTTTCCGACGAACGCGTCGAAAGATTCAGACGCGTCTTGTGATGCTATCTGACGTATACGAAGAGTCTGGACGCCCGATCCCGCTGCGGTAACAAACCCCTATTGCTGTTGTTACGTGCTTCTGTTGATTGCTCTAGATCCATACGGGCTATGTGCGACGGTGGGTATCTCATTTATTACCTTGGGTCGTCTTGATCGAAACGTCCCCCGTCATCCACCGTGCAAGGGCAACCTACCTCCCCAGACCTGTATGTGGTAGGTAGGTAGTCAGAGACAGTCCGGATCGGTCGCTAAAACAGCTCCTACTCCTGATTCGCCAGGTGAAGCACACTAGGGACGCACCGTTGACTCTGGGAGCGCGTCCGCGGCCCCGTCTTTTCTTGTTAATGGCGCCGTGCCATTTCTAGTCCCTCGTTGAGTTCAGCCGTTTTGCCCTTCACCATCCGCGCCGTTAACATCGGATTCTCAGCTGTGGCGCGTTCCAATCCTGGCACCGATGCTAGGACTCTGAGGGCAAACCAATCAGACGTCGACCGGCTCTGTATCGCCATGCGAGTTGGACGCTTCTGCACTACAATCTACATGTACGAGAACGACAGCAACAGGCTGTCGCCCACCAGGGAGCCAGCTTGCGACCAGCTCGGCCAACGGTGACGGCCGGGGTGGGCTTTCTGGTGTCTCTGAAATGATGGAAAACCCGTTGAGCGACCACCAATCCGCCGGTGGTAGTGCAGTCGTCTGATGTTAAGCCTTGGTTAGGGCACATGTAGCAGCTTTACCGGCGGCATCATGTGTTTCGGATCCTCGCAGGCCGTCCACACCCGGACGGACGCCTGCTGTGTCGGCAATCGTTCAAGCATATGTGACTTCCCATGACGAGATCCGTGTCACTTTCGCAGCCTCTGTATGCAAACCAGGCCAGAGGCATGTCGGGACGGAGCGGTGGAGATTTTCCAATGTGTGCAACACACATTGTCATGCGGCCTAAGCGCTGAAGGAGGGCAGGCCGTCGAAGAGGGTGCACTATTCGTAATGCAACCCTGGAATGGACAGATGACCCTGAGCTGCGTCTTGCATCAACATTTCCGTTTTGCTCAGGCATCGTCTGACTGCCAAATCCAGCTAGCACACTGTGTGTGTCATCACCCTTGATGGTCATGTGACGAGTGCATCAAAGCTGCTTCTCGAGTAAACAGATGACGTAGGGCGACGTCAGCCGACGTCGCATCGCGAAGAATGAAGTCCATAGCGTCTCGACCAAGTCTTCGAGCTTATCGTCAGCATGACATGCGAAACCTGCTGTTCCTCACGACCTCGCCGAGTCTAGAAACAAGGCCATCTGTCTCAGGTTCGAAGAACGAAGAAGGCATCTACCCACTGGAGCGCACCCGACAGCATCACGCGGGACGAGAACACGCTGCAGGGACGGGCAGTAGGCTTCGTCCGTCGTGGTCTGAGTGATGTGCCTAGTTGACGACTACTTTTCATGACAAGTGGAGTTGTATGCGGGTTTGGCAACCGACAGTGATAAGCTGATGGAGCTGCCGGGTCAGCCAAGTAATTCCGTGACGTAGCAACGGATACTCTTAAAGCCTGGCGAAACCTACTGCACGGTACGGGACAGGGCCGAACTGGGGGTCAGCATGCAAGCCCGGAGGGACGGTGCAAGATGCTGACATCGCGAACCAGTAGGTGG